TTTCTGATTTCTTCTTTGACAGCCAGATTTATTGTTGAACAAGTTTCACTCCATTTCCACCGCACCATTAAACCATGTAGTTTATTACAAAGGGCTCTGAGAACCTCCTAATATTTGGGAGTCGTGGAGCTAAGTGGCCTTGTCCTCCTAGAGACACAGCAGTGATCTTCTATCCCATGAATATTGAAGAGAGTTGGGCTGAAAATACAATTAACTGAACCTGGCTGGAATAGGGATCTGTTGTTTTGGGTTGATGTCCATTCTTCCTTCTTCTGTTAACGGTACCCTAATTTTACATTTGGAAACTATCGTTTCTGTTCTTAGTCCAATCCTTTTGGGATTATTAATGAAAGTACTCCATACTTTGCCCTAGCCAACCAGTAGGCAAGAGATCTAAGCTAGGCTCATTAGTTGTTCTCTTATTGGAATTTCATCTTGAGTGGAACGATACAAAGATTAGAGGTACCCAGAATCAAATGTCCATTAGTTCATGCTACCTACATCCCTACCCACCCAGACCTGTGCTAGTTGTTATTCTCTTCAGATTCTTGATTCTCTTTTCTCATGTATCTATTAGTTACTCCTGTTCCTCCTAATAAATTCTAAATACTTGTTGCTCCGTTAGCAGCTGGTTGCTATCAGTTGGCAAGTTTCTCTTCCTTTTACATTGGGCTAACTTACAAGTGGGTAACTCAAGTGTCTATCTTTATTAGGGAAAACATAATCAGTTATACTCACATGACAGAACCAATTCACTTAATGTCACATTGGGTATTAAGAACAGTAAATACTTTGGACATTTAGAGTTCTTTGTGAGCCTGGAGCTGCAACACAAGGCTAGAGAATGGTATAATGAGCTGGCTTGAATGCTTTAGGAGTAAAGATGTTTGCTTCTGGCAGATGAAGGATGGATCAAGTAAAGCCCAAACAGCAAGGGAAATGTTTGTTCTGTGATTGGGGATTCTTCTATTTGATGGTGTATCCTTTTAGAGAAAATTGTATAATTGATCTGAAAAAGCTGAGGAAGCATATTTGCATACACCTAATAAAAGTGGCACATGCTAGCTACAATTTTGTTCAGACTGTTCCAAGTGGAAAAGTGAAAGTATGCAAGGCCTCTAGAAGCCTCAGTGCATATTGGCAGAGTTGCTTTAGCTATATTCTATTTGCCAAATCAAGTCTGGAGGCCAGCCCAGATGCTAGAATTTGAGAATAGATATGCGTTAACTCTTGATGGAAGTAGCTGCAATGTCACAACGCAAATGAGGAAGGATGCAGAGGAATGATTGAGGGCACTCAATCTACCACACCCCAAGTTGGTTTCTGAACCTTATAGCTAAAGGAACCTGATACACCAACCAGAAATCTCTTTAACAATACACTCTAAAGTGGCATACTCCTCTAACTTTATTAATATAGCTGATTATGGGAGGTTTGTGGAGCTGCAGTCAGCTCCTCTACAGCATACAGAATAGAAACTACCTGTTATCCTTAATCCTAGCACTTTGTGTCGTGAGGGGATTGCTTGACATTCCTCTGTAGCCCTCTTAGCCATGCAATCTCAAAGGGCCATCACCATTAATTATATCATCTTCCAGGTCTCCTGAAATTTCACTGTATTGCCTGCCCAGTTATGACACACCAGCATGACTCTGCCACCCTCTATGACATTCCTCTGTAGCCCTCTTAGCCATGCAATCTCAAAGGGCCATCACCATTAATTATATAATCTTCCAGGTCTCCTGAAATTTCACTGTATTGCCTGCCTGGTTATGACACACCAGCATGACTCTGCCACCCTCTCTATTACCGCTTCCTGCTGTATCTAGTGCAGCACTTGCTGAAAACATTTGCATTTGCCTTTCTAGGATATATATTGAATTTTTGTAAGTTATATTTTCCTTTTATGCAGCACAGCCTCTTGGTAAGCTATATCAATCACAGAGTAAGGCAAATGCTAATTTTTTTTTCATAATGTGGACTTAAACTCAAGGCAAATGCTAATATTAATGTACACTGCTGTAGGTGTTTCTTGCCAGTTTACATCCAAGTTCTGACTCAGCCCCATCCTCTTTAAGTTTGTGAGATCTAATAAGATCATAGCACAGGGTGGTATATAGCTGCAGGCAGAAAATTCTGCTTGCCAAATATATTTTTCTTTATAGCAAGTTCATAAATTAAGGTAGGGCACTGAGACAGCATGGCTATATGCATGCATTAAAACAGAACTCTTTTCAGTTGACTACCTTCCCTTCCAGCCACTCATTCCTCTGAGATGGTGCCAAACTCTTGGTCAGATGTACCATCAGTGCTTCCCACCTTCTTGGTGTGAAATGATAATTAGTATTACTTTAGAGTTAAGGTGGTGTTCTACTTCCATTAATAACACCCATTATTCCAGGGTGTTTTAATTTGGTTGTAAAAAATTGACTCTGGAGGTGGAACTTGGCTTGGGAGCTTATTTTAAGAGCGAGTGGTTTCTTCCTAATTTTTCTTTTGAAAGAAAAAAGCTTTACTTTTTTAAAAGAAAATTTTGTGTTACTTTTGTGTTACACAATCATTGAACCAAATTTCTAGAGTATTGGTATGATTTTGGATTTGTAACTAATTTGGTATTATTCTCTGTTATCTCAAATAAAGCTGGGACCTCACAGGGCTTCTCACCTAGCTTAGGTTTGGCAGGGTCCAGAGCTCTACCACATCTCATCATTTGGGATCACAGGGCATTTCTTTTACATTTCTTCTCGCACTTAAACATCGAATTCTCTTCCCAAACAATTGTTTATCTAAGCTACTGACTGAATTGCATTTGATGATAAGAGGCTGTCCATTTTTACCTTGTATTTTGATGGGCATTTTACTTTCTTATTGTAGATCTGCTGGAAGAGTCCCAAAGAAAAGATGAAGAAATGGAATCTCTGCAGGTAAAGTAAATTCTCAAATAGAGCAATTATCCTTGGGATAAAAACATTTGTTTTTTCTCTGTTATCCTTTATTGTTGTCACATTCACATTGCTATAGTAAATGGGGTGACAAATACAATGTCAGAATGTTAAAGCTGAAGTTGAACTTTGCTTCCTTTAAAAGTCTTTGAGAGCATTATAATCTAATAAAGCAGGAAGCCAACTCAGCCTATGAGCTATTCATGAAAGGAACTTTTATTCCCTGGTATAGCTTAATAGGAACTGCAGCATTAGGAAATAAAGGCAACATCCTCTCAAACTCATTTTCCCCAAAACAGGGCTGATGAAGGAGGATGAATTCATGGCATCTACATTTTCCAGTGAAATTCAAAAGTATTCTGATTCCATAGATGTCATCTACCAATGACCAACCAAGAATGTTAACACTTACATGGAGTTTAAGATTTACCTTGTACAGCCTCTCAGTTTACTTGGGTTTATACACATTTCTTGGACTGGAAAATTGTGTTTTGAAAGATTCCACTAGATTTTTAATTGACATTTCCATGCTGTGTGCAATTGATGTTTAGTTGGCATCTGACAAGTTCTCTCTTCCTTTTACATTGGGCTAACTTACAAGTGGGTAACTCAAGTGTCTATCTTTATTAGGGAAAACATAATCAGTTATACTCACATGACAGAACCAATTCACTTAATGTCACATTGGGTATTAAGAACAGTAAATACTTTGGACATTTAGAGTTCTTTGTGAGCCTGGAGCTGCAACACAAGGCTAGAGAATGGTATAATGAGCTGGCTTGAATGCTTTAGGAGTAAAGATGTTTGCTTCTGGCAGATGAAGGATGGATCAAGTAAAGCCCAAACAGCAAGGGAAATGTTTGTTCTGTGATTGGGGATTCTTCTATTTGATGGTGTATCCTTTTAGAGAAAATTGTATAATTGATCTGAAAAAGCTGAGGAAGCATATTTGCATACACCTAATAAAAGTGGCACATGCTAGCTACAATTTTGTTCAGACTAAACTCTTTTAACATCTTACGCACTATATTCTGGTATAAAAAGAAAGAACACTGATTGGTCCAGTTTGGGGCTAGGAAAAATCTCAAGTGCCTATCTCTGTGAAATTAATATCAGCAATGGTTGTTGTTATACAAAGCAGTGCTCTAGGTACACTAAATTGAGAAGGTAATAACATCCTTTTGAGGCATTTTGGTTATGCATTGTGTTTGCTTTTGGCCCCAGAATACCACATGCAAACATATTTATTGAGCACAAAATCTGGCCTTTTGAAATGGCAACACAAATAGTTTTAAGTTTATTTCTCTCATGATACAAATGTTGGAACCAGTAATGTCATGAAATTTAATAGCCTATGTTGTGTCTTTAATGTTTATTAACTACTGGCAGTATTTCCTACCAAAATGTCCATCTAATACAATAGAATATACCAGCCAACTAGCTATGGACGCTCTCATGATACAAATGTTGGAACCAGTAATGTCATGAAATTTAATAGCCTATGTTGTGTCTCTAATGTTTATTAACTACTGGCAGTATTTCCTACCAAAATGTCCATCTAATACAATAGAATATACCAGCCAACTAGCTATGGACGTTTATAGATGTAGAGTATGCAATATGATGTCCTATGGTAGAAGAGTTATATGTTGGCACTCTGTAGTGGCGATTAGTGCCTGATATAACACTCTATTAAGCACAGAGAGGGAGTCAACACTTTTCAAAGTGCTTAGAGTGCAAAGGCCATCACAAAAAGCCTTTAATATTAAAGACTAGAGGACAATGCATGGAAAAGCGCCTATATTCCTGAGTTTCTGTATTCAAATATAAATATCATAAGTGATAGTTTGAAGAAGACTATTAAAATATATAGGTTGAAGTCCTACAATCATAAAGTAGTACTTTTGGGGTGGGGGAGACAAAGTAGTTTCCAAAAAAAAATGATAACATTAAGGATTGGAGGTTGACAATTTTAAGTCCTGGCTCTGCTCATTCTCTGTGTAACCCTGGATAACTCAATTAGCTTTGCTGTGCCTATTTTCTCATCTGTAATATAAAATCATAAAACCGTCTTCCAGAAGTGTTTAGTGTGAATTAGATTATCCCAGAAGGGAGAGCTAAATATTTAATTCCAATTGACAATGTTAGCAAATCCTCACATATCCAAATTGGAGTCAATTTTATTTACTCATTATCATCTCATAATTGTGTATAACAGACATTTCTGCATTTAATGTTATTCTCCTTAAGGGTAGGAGGTGTTTTATTTATCTCTAAATCCTTCCCAGTTTTCTGTAAATAAAAGGTACTCAACTTACTTACTGAAGATGTAATTATGGAGCACCAATTCTGTGCAGTAGGCTGAGCTGGGGTGGAGTGGGGTGGCAATTCAAGGAGGCTTTCCAAAGGAAACCACTATTTATTTAAATGATAACTTGGAGTAAGCTAGGCAAGATCGTGGTGAAGATTAGAAAAATTTTAGGCAGTGGGAAAGATATAGGAAGGCCTGGAGTAAAAGAGAGTAGTTTCATGTTTAAAGAACTGAAAAAAGTTAGGGTGGTAGAATGTAGCATCTGAGAGAGTAGAGACAGACTGGAATATGTTAAGTAAGCAGAGGTCTCAAGGACCTCCAAAAGGAGTTTGGACTTTACCTTTAATATAAAAGATATTTATGAGAATCTTGGCAAGAGATGGTGGTGACTTGGACTGGGGGGTAGCAGAGAGCATGAAGAGGAGGGGGTGGTTTATTAAAATATTTTAGAGTATAAAAATCCATGAAACTCTGAGGTTGGCTATTGGTAAGTTAAAAAGGAAGGAGTTAAGAATGACTCTGGCATTTCTTAATTGGACAAACTTCATGAATGTTTGTGCTAGTCAATGAGACGGGGAAAGTTGATTAGTTCAATTTTTGATATCTTGAAACATCCAGGTGCAGTGTCAAGGGGGATTCATATGAGTCTGGAGCTTAGGAGGGGTTTGAACTGGACATGCAGAATTTGATGTCATCAGATCTGGTGTCCATATCATACAGATGATACTCAAAGTCATATTAGCAAATGAGAACACCCAGGAGAATTATGTAGAATGAGAAGAATTAACAGCCTAGGCCAGAACCCTAGGGAATCCAACATTTAAAAAGCAAGCTAAGGATGAAAATCCTAAAAAGAAGTCTGAGACATAAATTAATTTCAGGAGAACATAGTGTCATGAAGCTTAGCAAAAGAATATTTCAACAGGAAAATTATCAGTAGAACTGAATAAATATTTGTTAAATCCTTGGATCCACAAAACAGAAACCCACCATCCAATGAATTGTAATTTCCCATCATACCTACGAAGCAACTCTCTTGTCTTTTACTTTCCCAAATATTCACTACTTTGCCCAGTGCCTCACCATAATAGGTGCTCAGTAATTTCCTGTAAAAGCAAACAAATGCCGCCCTACTGTTCTTACTTATGTCACACCTATTCCTGGATCTCCTCGAGATCCATTCATCCATTAAAAACAACACCGATCCCTTTCCTAGAGTTCATGTTTTGTTTAGATTTTGAGGGGGAGACATCCAAGTTCTGCCTTTCCTGTGCTG